ATGCATTCATAGTGTATTATTTTGCACCAATTCTTATTTATTACTTGATTCTAATTGCACAGCCAATCCGCAGTTTATCTAGACCTCCATTTACCTATAACAAGCGTGGATAAGGAATGGCCTGTTTGCGAATTCCATATATCCCTACGTAAATACAGCTCGTGTCTTCATAATGAATTGGCTAGGCATTTCGCATGGCACGAGATAAGGGCACCTGAAGTGAGGAGGTGTGGACTTGACAATTATTTTGTCTATATTCTAGTCCAAAACTAACCGGCATAGTAGCTTGCTCACCTGCAGAGAGAGAGATATCTTTCCGGTATCCCAGAACACAGTGAGACAATGCTTCAAATGCAAGTTAATCACAAAGCTCCTCACTTCTCACAAATATGGGCCACCATAACGATGCAGGTGCGGAAATATAATGCGGCAGCATTGCATGCCACCAAATGTTGTGCTCTTGCATGCAAAACAAAATCAAAACAAAAGGGGAATAGCATTTTCATTTCCACTTACATAGACTTGAGTAACTTAAAAAGTTTCCAGTGTTGCAATAAAAAAGCAATTTTTGACCAATTGTAAGGTAGTAAATTGAGAAAATTGCACTTAAATGACACAGTAGATCTTGCCCGGCTCAATAGTTAGAAGTAAAGCAGATGCATTTAAAACCTTAGGTTTGGGTTGACCGATTTCTGTATAAAGCGACTCCCTTTTGATGGATTATGTGGTCAAGGATGTTTAGAGGCTGGCCACACTGAGCAGCACAGCGAATTCATGTCCCCCGACTAGGTACTCAAGTATCTTCTAAGCATGGGTTATTATAGCTGCCAATTCTTGTCTTTCGTGTCTTTTCGCCTAGTGCAAGTGTAATTGCAGCCAAGGTGATGGTGGTGTTGGTGTGTGGTGGTGGCATTGGTAAATGACAATGGTGCCATCACACGAACTGTGTCAGCACTTCTTCATGAGGCATTGTTGGTGTGTCCGCTCTTTCTCATATCTCGTTTAAAGGTAGCTTTGCGAATGTGTAGAAGCAAGAGCGGAGTGGTAGCATAGGGGGTGTGAAGGGAGTTGTATTCCTGGTGTGTCCACCGAAGAGGGGCAAGAATCGCATTAACAATCACGCAGTTGAAATAAACTTTGCATTCGTATAACTCTAGTGTCGTCACTGTATTTATGGACGGATTCCAAGTCAGTCACCAACTGATTGAAGGCAGAGACTCTAAATCAGGTGAAACTTTACACATATTCGAATTGCAATATCCGTAAATGAAAGGTGAAATAACTGATTGGTGAGGTGCATCACTCACCAATCAACACAACAATATCCCCGTGCTCTACCTCTCATTTACTTTGAACTCTTTTGGTAACTTGGACAGCATGATCACCCATTGTATCCAGCATGACTTTATTACAAGAACTACAAGAATTATGCAAATTGCGACTCCCCACTTGGATTACTTCCTAGACTCATTGCCTTATTCACCCTAGCCGTTTGCTGAAGCCGGTGGGGTCAAATTCGCCTTCTGGCACATGTTCTCATTTAATGAGATGGTGCTAAATGCATCGATATGATAGCACATCAAATATTCCCCATCGTAGTGGTGACATTGGTCCCACTGAATTTTGCTGCTTGTGTAAATGAAAAAATAAGTCCATATCGCAGTTTATTTTCTCCACTTTTGTTTGCACTACAATGTCCACAAATTTGGTAGCTAGCATCCCCTGAGTGAGATACGTTGAAAACTAAGGATTAATGCTGAAGCAAGGAATGCTCCAACAATTTTTAGTCCTTTGTGATGCTAAATACATTTTCTTTCCTTGCAGACTTCTTGAAGGGGCAGTTACATTCCCAAAATGTGGTTTGTTGTACAAGGTGGTGGCTAGCATGACAGGTCACTATACCGCACCCTTTCGCGTTGCAGGTGACACTAATGAGCATAACTTTGGCGCGTAACCCTACAAGCCAATCAAAAGGGGGAGGAGGAGTTTTGTCCGATGTAAGGCGCTCAACGACACGATTGGCTGAGAGGTGGGTATTGCCGCTTGTCGTTGGATTTGGCACCAAGACCTCAATAGCATTGGCATGTGCGTGCATATGTACTCAAAGCTAACATGCTTTACATCAATTTGTGATTTATAGTCTCGGTTACTTCTGGTAGTCGGAAGAAAAGATCAAAAGCGGTAAGACTTCAAACAATTATTGGAAATGGCAAAATGCCTTTGTCAAGGTCCTACTACATGGACCGAGGCATAGACGTTAAATTCTGGTCTTCGAATCAAAGAAGTAAAAATTATTTCAAATATTTGCGCGCTGACTTTCACTTCTTTGAGGCAGCGATGGTATAGTTGAATCGCCACGGCTCATTCAATCAACCACTCCGCCTTCTCACTCGAGCCGATTCTAGCAATCGTGGTCATTCAGCAGAGTGGTGTTCTCCCACCTTCTCCTCGGAGCTACTTGACCGCATAACCGTACCAAATGAATGTGTGATGTTATTTCCTTCACCATTGAATAAAATATGCAAAATTTTTAATCCGTCATAACGCTGATTCGGCTCCGCCTTCAGATCTAAATACTGTCAAACTCAGGGGATTACTGATCACGTCACAAATGGTTACTCAATAGTTGCTCAAGTGGAAAGAAGTGAAATTACACAACCGTGTTCTAGACAGCAATATTTGTTTGGTAAGCATTCCGCAGCTGCACTGGGAAGGATAACAAATTCACTTTATCATACGGATATCCTTTTGGAGCAATGGTTATTACCAAGTTTCAACGGGTGTAGACAAGGCCATAAGAACGACCTCCAGCTCCTGCGGCGTGATAATATCCACGAAGCCGAAGGCATATTCTACATGGACACTCATGCGTGCAACTTGGTTGAGAAGAGGGAGCTGCTGCTTAATAGGACCCATCAGATCACCCAATAATAATTGCAGGTCCTTAACACCTCAACTACTTCCTTTCTTACCGCTCTCCTGCTGCCAGCATGCAGTAGAAGTCCCATACTCAAATGACACCCGTGAAAATGCAGTGAGGCCTAATTAAGGAACCTGATATAAAGCAAATCAAATACTTAGACGCTACGGAATAAGTGGGCCCTAACAACGAGCAGCTATCAAACATTTACGTTAACACACAACTGGAATCGCATCACCAGCCTCACACATATACAAGAACGAACCATGGTGAGCAGTGGCAATTGCATCAGCCCTTGGGTGGTGCTATTCGATTTAAGTGTGACAAACGCGCTCTCGAAAGCAAAGCGCGTTACACTTTGTGTGGCAACGCAGTCCACCTTGCGTAGGACTGTCAATTACATTTGTGGTTTTAATGCGCTAGTTATCATTATGACACCCATCAATGGGCACTAAGTTGTACCAGTCGAATTAAACATGACCGCAGATAGACGAATTGGACAATAAGCAGCAGAACATGCATAGAGAAATGAATACATCATCAGAAGTTAAGGCATCTTCTTGCAGGTAGCGCGAATTTGAACATGAAGTTGTTGGTGATGGCAGGATCATGAGGATGATGAGTTTATTAGGTATATGAGAATTTAGTCTGATGTAGAAGGGTTTTAGTAAGTGTTTGCATCAGTTTTGATCATGATTACCGCCGTAACTTCTCTGTTTGACTAGCTAATCCTATCCCATTGACTAATGACAGCACTCTGTCCCCTTTGGGCGCTGCACTGTAATACTGCACCTACTGCTGCAGTACATATTCACCTTCAACTCAATTTCACAGTGCTCTGTGCATCTTGGGAATTCATTCATGTATTTGCTATCTTTACTCCTCCTGGTGTGCCTGATGGGGCTCCCAGCATCCTCAGGACAGACGGTCAAGTCTGCCGCCTTCAACGTGCAGGTCTTTGGAAAGACGAAATCAAAAAAAACCTGATGTGATGCAAATCCTTGTTAAAGTAAGCATCCTTATCACATTGGTTTCTTAGGCATCTCTAGATTTTCCTTAGATACGTTGGTGCAGTCATCGAGGAGATAAGGGATATAAGGGAGGAAGCCATCACTACACGCCTGGCTGAAATTAATGCTGCCTCGAAGTAAGTATACATCTCTGTATTTGCTGTGTAGTTCTCGTTTCGTACATGAACTGTGCGTTCATTTGCCTTCATGTATTTGCTAGTAGTTCGCACAGTTTTTAGTTTGAATACATAAGATAGTATTAGTACGCAAATGAACTGTCCTTGAACCCAGTAAAGAATTGTGCATGGAGATCTGCCCTTTGGTGCCCTCACACTCGGGACAGATTGTAGGAGGTGTGCTGTCCCATCCTGGTATTTGTCTTCTCCTCTCGAGGTTAAATTTAAGCACACGAACAGTTGACATTGTTTGTGAACCAGTCCTGCATCGCTTGTTACACGACCCTCGCAGTATTGAGGTGGGAGAGCGCATATGTC